ATATAACATTTTAGACACATTCTAGACAGTTTATCAGCTAAAAAAAGTTAATTTTGGGGTAAGTTACTCTTTAAGCTAGGACTTTTTTGATAACTTTATTAGTTTTAGCTAACTTGGTCCGTGTCCAGCTTCCTGTACAGCACAGCTAAAATAAACCAAATGAAAGTTGTTCAAAGACTCCTGACGATTTTAATTATTTTTATTGATAAGAATAAAAAGGTCATCAGCACTTGCTGCATACATGCAGAAATGAGAACCAAAACCCACAGTATGCAATTGTAGATCACTCTGAATGATTTGTTAATGTGACGACATTCAGGTGATTGTGATTCTGTTAGTAAATGGTAAATATACCAAAAACACCTTTAAAACATAGTTTGACATATTGGTATCCTAAAGAAAATGTACCAGAAGCTCACTTAAACAATACACTGAGTTTTTATCATTATGACTTTATTAAGGAAACCAAAGAAGAGCATACAGTACTGTATGATGCAGCTCAGTTGGTGTTTTTAAGAAAAAAAACATTGTTTACAGGTGTCTTCACATCTGTTTAGAGAGCACTTCTTGCAGCTGCATTCACCATCATTATCTTCATAACAGTGAGGCTTGAACAGATGTAAAGATTTGGCTAAACTGAAAAGCAAAAGAACAAAAACAAACATTTAACATGTTTATGGCAGCATTATGAGAAGAGGTGAAGTTTTTAGCCACTTTATTTATTCTCACCTCATGGGCCTATTAGTGGTACGCATTTGGAACCACATTTATATTGGCAGCATTTAGTAAATTTGCATTTTCTGTGCCAGGAGCACTGATATCCACACTCCCCATGAGTTGGACACTTATGAAATGCTGAGGAAAATGAGAAAACGATTATTTACGCAGTCAGACAAATATGAGCTTTGAGAGAAACTCTGATTGCTTTAACATTTTAATTTAAATAGATTGAACAATCTTTATTATAAATTTTGTTAAATATTGTATCTCTCTCTTTGAATAGCAGAAGCACAACCAGATTTGTCAGCTCCAGGGCAGATTGTGTCATTCTGACATGGTTTTAAAGGAGAAAAATATTTAGAGTGCTTTGGATGTTGACCTGGTTTTAGCAAAAAATCTGAGAGGTAATGAGAGAAAGCGTAATTTCTGCAAAAAGCTTACAAACCAAAACTCGGACAAATGAGATGAGAGAATTGTCCGTTTTAATTGTCCACAATTGAAGGTAGACTGTCTTGTTTAGCAAAATATCTCATGAATAACTTAAAAGTTTAATGAAACGTTCAGAAATAAGTCCCACTTAGTGAGATCACTTGCCAAGGTTTTAAACTAAGACTCACCTAAGTCTTGTGATTTTATTCTGTAATGTTTGGATTAAGTCCTGTAATTTGAGGTTGATTCAGTAAATCTATAAGATTTTATTCTTGTTTTGTTTTGTTTTACTGTAAGTGTTATGTTGCATCAAATTATTTGTTTTCATTTATTGTTTTCAGTGAGTAAGGGATTTAATTTAATAGTTACTGTACATCGTTTGCACAGAAGATGGCAGTGTAGTGCCAGAGGCAGTAGGTGTGGATACCTGGCCTTCAGGTAGAGAGAGGTTTAATTAGTGTCAGCAGCTGTTTGCCCCTCAGTGTTTGGCAACCACAGAGATGCTTTTGACATGTATGGTTCAATTATCTTTTGTAAATGAACAGGAGAAACATGAACTGATTTTGTTTTTGGTTTTACATTTTTCTCCTCAAACAAGATTGTGTGCATAAACATTTGTTACATTGAAATGAATTTAAAATATGCAGTTAAAATATTCACATAGCTTTAGTAGCAGGTTATTAATT